TACAGCATACTACATGAGAACAGCAGATTACAAGGAGGCTGACCAAGAAAGAGATGGATGGAAGCAATACAAAAGACCCTACAAAAACGCAATTTGTCATTAACACAAGCTACACAACTAGCAAAAGATAGAAAACTATATCTACCTCCTCTCTGCGATGCTTTATGGTATAAGCAGTAGGAAACAAGAGGAAGAAGATCTCAGATGCAAAAGACGGATGATATCATTTAAAGAAATCGGTGATAATACAGGCCAAGACATTGGGGTCTGCAATCTGGCTGACCTTCAAGTAATGGCCAGGTCTGACTATAAAATCTGAAGTTTCAGCACTGCTTAAACAGATTCTGCTTGGCTCTGAGAATGGAGGGGCTTTAGAGCCCTGTAACACTCTCCGTGGAAATACAGGATCATTTTCATGCCTTTAGTGCTTGGGTATACAAGGCTAGACCTACATTTTTGTAGACCAATCGGCATTCAGCGGGTGGCTAATATTAGATCGGCCGCCTCTACCTTCTAGAAGATTCACTGAAACCCATTTTAGGCTGGATTGACCCGGGAGCCAGGTGAGTTTAAACCGTAGACCAGGTGCTATTCAACTGAGCTTACCCAGGGGCACAAATACTGGAAAACAGAGATCGTCATGGGCACAGGCCTGAGCTCCAGCAAAGAAAGACCATTAATACAACACAACCTGCAGGTGATTCGTAGGCCACTTGCTAGGTTTGGTCTGCAGGCCACCAGTTAAATAGCTCTACCCTGGACCTTCGGGTCAGCAGAAAAGTATCTAGCCACTACGTTACCACCTTCTCTCCAAAGGAATGGTACTTTGATATCAGGTAGGAGGAGGTCTCGACACTAGCCTCACTCTTGTTGACTCAACTCCTGCTCATGGTTTAAATGACCTGAATTCCCAATGAATGAGGCATAGAAAGTCTGCTAGAGTATGCCCAATGAACCAGGCATAGAAAGTCTACTAGAGTATGCCCAATGAACCAGGCATAGAAAGTCTACTAGAGTATGCCCAATGAACCAGGCATAGAAAGTCTACTAGAGTATGCCCAATGAACCAGGCATAGAAAGTCTACTAGAGAATGCCCAATGAACCAGGCATAGAAAGTCTACTAGAGTATGCCCAATGAATCAGGCATAGAAAGTCTACTAGAGTATGCCCAATGAATCAGGCATAGAAAGTCTGCTAGAATACTCACAACCAGCAAACCATAGTGGCCAAATGAAGGCAGTATATTTAGTAACAGATGCTTGTGGCCATGAAATATCCTAATGAAGGTAGTCATGGAGCAGTGATGCAGAATACCAGACTCTTAATGCCTCTTGCTCAAGCCATAAATCATCTACACATGGTGGATCCTGTTCTTCCCAGTAACCCAGTGAGAGGTTGAGAAAGCAGGAAACTGGATGAGACAACAAACAAGGTAACAGTGAAATATAGTTCTGTCTTCCTCTAGTAACCAGAGTGCAACACTGAGATGTTACTTTATGGAGAATACTTATTGTCTGCGCTTCTGGAAATTCCTGTTACAGTTTATAAATTGAGGACATGTCAGTAAAAGACGGCAGTATCAGTTAATTCCCTCTGTTAAAAATACTATTTGTATTCCAGGAGAGACAAGTGAAAAACTATGAAAATCTTAATAAGTCCACTGATGTAACTGGCCAACTGAAAACTTTAGATATACAGCTTGTTTGTGCTGCTTCGTGTCCTTTTAGAAAGGCTATAAGATGTAAAAATATTTTTAATAAAGCTCTAATATGACCCTGTCAAGCACATACCAAATGAGGAAAAAGGGGGGGGGGGGGGGGGGGGGGTGGGGGTGGGGGTGGTCTCAAAACAACGGTAAACTGCTAGCAGCAGGCAAACCATAAACACATGAGAACCACTTAAACATCCTTCTACCAAGGGAGAAACACAACAGTGCACGCATGTACCCCCCCCCCCCCCCCCACATTCCTATGGTGTAGGCAGGGGGGATATTTGAGGCTGAGGATTTAGGGCCGCACGGCTGATGCTGTAACAAGATTTTATTTTTGCCTCTGACAGAACAAAATCCACAATTATACTGAGGATTCGAATTTGGACCTCCCGCTTGAAAGCCCAGCATTCTTAACCATTCGGCCAGCCACTTCCCAGCCGGTAACTTGACCACTAAGATAGCAACCGGCCATGACAGAGACACCCAAGTTACCTATATATAAGGTTAAGCTATAACCTAACACTAACTCAAATGCATTCAATTACATATACTGCCATGGACACTTTGTAAAATAAAAAATGAATACCCCCAGCAAGATTGAACACAGGGTTTATAACAAACATAAAGTGCCATCAGCCAGACATACAACAGCGTTTTATTCACAAAATGTACAGAATAAAATATACTTCAACAGACATTTTTTAAAATGAAATCACTTGTGTAATTGTAGTGTAAAATAAAGCGGAATTATAAAATGTCAATAAAAATGATGACAAAATAATATATTACAAACTAAACAATCACCATAATGCATTTTGATGAAATGATATTTCTGTTATGTGCTTATTTCAGTTACAGTTCTCTTGTAAAATCAGCTGTTAGCAAAGCTATTAGCTGTAATGGTGACAGTGTTGCAAAATAACAGACATGTGGAAGGGCAAATTAAAAGATGTGTAGAAAGGCAAACTAACAAACTAAAAGCTGTGAGAAAAGTAAACTAACTAAAATATGCATGGAAAACAAATTAACAAACTAAAATATGTGTGGACACGCAAACCAACAAACTAAAAGTTGTTAGGAAAAGCAAACCAACAAACTAAAAGATGTGTGGACTGACAAACTAAAAGATGTGAGGAAAAGCATATTATCAACCTAAAAGCTGAGAGGAAAAGCAAACGAACAAACTAAAAGATGTGTGGACAGACAAACTAAAAGCTGCGAGGAAAAGCAAACCAACAAACTAAAAGATGTGTGGACAGACAAACTAAAAGCTGCGAGGAAAAGCAAACCAACAAACTAAAAGATGTGTGGACAGACAAACTAAAAGCTGCGAGGAAAAGCAAACCAACAAACTAAAAGATGTGTGGACAGACAAACTAAAAGCTGCGAGGAAAAGCAAACCAACAAACTAAAAGATGTGTGGACAGACAAACTAAAAGCTGCGAGGAAAAGCAAACCAACAAACTAAAAGATGTGTGGACAGACAAACTAAAAGCTGCGAGGAAAAGCAAACCAACAAACTAAAAGATGTGTGGACAGACACAAACTAAAAGCTGCGAGGAAAAGCAAACCAACAAACTAAAAGATGTGTGGACAGACAAACTAAAAGCTGCGAGGAAAAGCAAACCAACAAACTAAAAGATGTGTGAAAAGGCAAGATAGAAATATAATCAACCGCTACTTCAGCGTTGGAACTCTTTGCTGGCTGCTGAAGATGAGGACAGAGTGCTATTGGGAATGTCTAGAGTGCTGTGATGACAGTTCTTAACTCAGCCTAAACTAAAAGAAGTGGGGCATACAGACACAAAACCAGAAGTAAAAGACAAAATGCAGCACCTCACACTATCACAAGTCTGGGTAATAATAGAAAAGGCACAAATAGACGAAGATACATGCTGTGACAAGACCAGACATCAAGAGAGAAAACAGCAACAGATAAAGATAGAAGTGACTGTCCAAGGAATCCTAAAAACAAAAATGACTGAATGACAAAGAATTCTGTCAAAATATTTCAAAAGTGGCATTGTATACTGAGAGCCTTTTTCCAGGTTTACATATCTACATGAATCAGCATTCCCTATAATGAACACCATAAAACCCAAGGAGAGGAGCCAAAATAATGATCAACTGACTTGCCACTTAAGACTAGCAGCAATGTCACAAGATAAACCCGTTAAAGGAATAGTGTCAAAGGTCTGGAAGCAAGTCAGTCTCTTTTGGAAATATGTCATATATCTACTGCATGTCTATTAAAAAAAAAAGCATAAAGCTTACTTACTGAATGTTTATAATATATGCAAATCTGTTTAGATGGTACCGGCCTTCCCCCTCCCCTTTAGGTTGTCCCTAAAATGGGATGAATTTAAAAGCGCAAGGAAATCAGAAAAATGTCTGGACAAATACCTGTATTTGAGCGCAGTAAGACAAAGAAGGTGGAGATATATTGGGCACACTCTGAGATGAAATAAGCACAGAATTACAAAACAGCACTGAAATGGGAAACAAATGATCTGAGAAAAAGAGGACGTCCAAGGGAAACATTAGGAATAACATTATTACGAGAGGCAAACAATGCTAGGCTGAACTCTTTTTAAGAAATCGAGAAAGTTGCATGCAATAGAGTGGAGTGTACAAATCGAATATGAGCCCTACGTTACATCTAATGGCATACAAAGGATGATGATGATGAGGTTGTCTTTATAAGTCTTATCTCTATATTTTATAAAGCAGATCACCAGTGATTTCTGGGGGGAAAAGTCACCCTGCAATCTAAAAAGGCTGATCACTGTTGCAATATTTCATACAGCTACAAACCAGGTAAATCCTGTAGATCCATGTTTCTCTACATGTCGTCCGTGGACAGAACTAGCACCCAGAAATGTTCTCCCACCCAACCAAGATTCAATAAACAAAATGCTCTCTATATTTGTTTTTACTTCTGCCTCAACTGTCAGTTGATAAGACTTTATAAAGCTTCTAATAGTTGAGGGCAATGTGATGAAGATACAGCTGGTCTTGGTTTTCTGAATGTTCACAAAGACTACCATAAAGTCAACGGAGACTGGACTGCTGCATCCATTCACTCCTCTCTATGGAATACCTTTGCAGGATGATAAAAGCAACTAGACTTGAGATGACCGCAGACATTCGAATCAAAAGCTACTTACAAAAGAACACTTGACAGTAACATAAAATAATAAATTAAAATACTGTATTAACTCTCTTTTGCTCAGCAGTAATGCTTGAAATAAAAATGTGTAGAGGCAATCAGTCGATGATGCAGATCTATCAGTACCCACTGGGCACCCCTCCTTTCCTGAAATCCGCCACGGCCACAATGTCATTATTTAAAACATTGACCGACTGAACAATTGACTGGCCTTGCATGCTCCCAATGACATGACCTTTGGATCTAAGCCCATTCAGTATGGTCTGAAAAGTAAATTAGTAATATATAATGCTCAAAAGCACACACATAAATATATACTCTTACACATGTTAATCTATTTAAGGCAGACACAAAAGGGAAACAGTGGAAAGGGTAGAGAGTTTTGGGAAAATTTACATGTGTAGAAGCAGCTGTATTTTCCACCTCTGATATTATATCCACACAATAAATGAGCTACTATCTGCAGACAATCAGTGCCTGTTCTACAAGGAGTAGACTGCAAGACCATTTCAACAGGCTAAGGTCAACATGTAGAAGACATGACATGAAAGTAAATACAACAAAAACTGAAACAATGCAAGTCAGTAGAATTCCTAGTCCGCTACATATAGGGTTGAATGGTACTTGCTGCAAGTTACAGAATTTAAATATCTAGGAAGGATGTTCTCGGAGGGTCGACCCAGCCTTGAGTGGGTACCAGGTACAGTGGCCAGTGTGACGCATTAAGTGCCAATTGGTCTATAAAAATTGAGGTCTAGCCCGTTATGCCCTATACGCCTGAAGGCAAGAAAAAGGGTCCTCTACTTTACTATATTCTCAGAGGACGAGAAACAAGATCGGAAATAGAAACAAGATGCCAATGAGATTGTGTACTTATATACCAGTTGACAGTTATTAAAACATTCAAATGTAAGCATGAGCGACAAGAAAGAGATTATGAAAAGCATATTCATATCAACACTGTGCTACCAGTGCCAGACTTGAACATTATCAATTAAAATTAACACCTGTGAAATTAAATGCCTGGAAAACAAAGCCGCCAACTTAACGAGACAAAATCTGTAATAATATTATCATAAAGACTGTGAGAACAACACCATGCAGCAAATTCACTGAGAAACAGAAGATTAAAAGGTTTGGTCATTTAGCAAGAATGCAGCCAGAGCTACTACCAACGCAGGCGCCACACATAAAAAAATATGGTATTGCAGCAGAAGTTATTAAGCACATTAACAGCATTGCCAAGATAAAACAGATAAAATAGATAAAATGCTGATAAGACTTGCTTTTTATGGCTCTGAATTTTGAAACACATCTTAAAGAAATGAAGACATTTTCTAAAACACAGTCTTACAGGATACTTTTGGACCCACTAAAGATGCAAACAGCAGGGAATGGAGAGAGAGAAGCAACAACAAAATTCATAGTCTGTTTACATTTCCACTGATTACTGGTATCAGGAGAGCTAATTGCATGAAATGGCTGAGGCAAATTGAGAGGCTGTCAGATAACAGAGAGGTTTAAAAAACAACAATATACACAAGGAAGCTGAATAGTCTTAGACAGACCAAGAAGATGATGGAGAGATGATGTCCAGACAGACATGCAAACACTTGGTATCACCAGATAGAAAGAGAAGGCCAACCAGAGAGATGAGTGGATGTGGGTGATTTCTGCAGCAATAAACCTCAAGGGCTCGGAATGCTGAAGAAGAAGAAGAAGAAGAACAGCACTGCCACACAGATTATTCAGTATAGTCTGGGAGACAGAAGAAATACTAGCAGACTGGAGAAAAGGATATTTTCTGAAACTGCCTTAAAAAGAAAGAAGATCTGAAAGAGTGTGACGACTGTGGTTAAATTATGTTGCTGTCAGTTCCTGGTAAAATATTAAGCTCAATTATTTTGGAAAGACTGAAAAATGCTACTGATAAAAATCTAAGAGATGAACAGGCAGGTTTTTGGCCAAACAGAACCCGTTCTGACCAGACAGCCACTTTATGCATAATAATACAGCAGAGCACCAGAATTTAATACAACAATTTATATTTTATTCGCAGATCATGTAAAAACTTTTCACAGCATTGATAGGGAATCTATCTGGAAACTTATGGGGCACTATGGAATCCCACAGAAAAATAACACAGTAAAAGCAAGATACAAAGACATGGAAAGTCGAGTTCCTCATGAGGGTAGCTAACAGATACATCTGAGATAACAATAGGTGTGCGAGAGGGATGTCTTTTTTCACATCTCCTGTTTTTATTGGCAACAGACTGAATTATGAAAACAGCAACTAATAACATTAAGAATGGAATTAAGTGGATCCCTACAAAACAGCTTGATGATCTAGACTTCGCTAATGACATTTCTCTTCTGTCCCATTCACAGAATAAGATGCAAGATAAACTAAATATGCTTGATATGAAATCACAACTAAGCCTAAAATCCTAAAGGTAAAAACAAAGATAATAAGAAACAGATAAGAAGAAATAAGGCAAATATTTAGAATCTTATGTCAAATCAGTACTGTTTTATTAGGCGGTAACATGGAGAAAAACTAAAACAATTACTAGTAAACTAAAAACATGCATTAACTGGCATCTACACAGAAAAGAGGGAATTAAATGGTATGATAGAATCAATAATGTTCAGTTTTGGGAGAAAACTAAAGTTCTAGTGGACAAAGAGGTGAAGAAAAGATGCTAGTGTTGGTAAGGACACAAGTTTAGAAACCTTAGAACAAAATAACTAGAATGTCTTTGCACTGGAACCCACAGGGACATATAAATAAAGGGAGACCACACAAAAAAGGGAGCTAGGGAGTGAAGTTAAACAGATGAGGAGGACATGGGGTAAGCTAAATGAAATAGCGAAGGACAGAACGACTTGGCGTGAGTTGGTTGAGGGCCTATGCTCCATTGGGAGACAGAAGGCAGAAGACATGGACACAGAAGGGCAATAGCCATTGCTGCCAATCTAGCAAGGGATCACAAACTGTTTCTTAACAGCAGAAGTGGAAATTAATGATATTATTAATAAATAAAAATAATTTGGAAACCCACACACTTATTATCTGCATCAACATCATCAGCCAGTGCCATTATCGCTGCAGCAGTTTCTGTCCTGAGCATTCAGTTAGTTACTTGGATGTTATCTGTCTATCCTTGAACAAGTCTTCATCTTCAGACAAAAGGTTCTTAGATTTCTTGGGTCCAGCTTGAGAATGCCAGTCTTCTGTTATGGCATGTGATCAAAACCTCAAGGACATGGCAAATCTAAGGCCACATGCAAAAATGAGTGTTGATTTAGAGACAATTGTTCAAGTTGAAATGCATTAAAACAGCTGCTTCTATTATGAGCCCAATCAACAGATGAACATTATGGGTTTTTCCCAAGTCGTTTACTTCTGAGAAGACTTTCTTGAGGTCAGAGATACGTCACTGATTCTACTGTGTCTCTTCTTGGATACTTGTGTCTTATGCTGACCCTCTGACTTCAGCACGGAATATTTTAAACATCAGGTTTGCCTTTTCTTTCTCTACAAATATTTACCTACTATAGGCAGGTCTGGCAGACTTCTAGCATTGTCAAGAAAATTGCAAATAAGCTGAAAGTCAGTGAAGAAGGAAAATAAGAAGCAGAAGGTAAAGGAAGAGGCTATGGCTTCTAAACTACAAGGTTCTATAACTTCTGACACTAGGAATAAATGCTACCTTTGGGTAATTAGCCTCCACCTGAATCTCTGGAGGAAACAACTGGTGGTGTAACCGTGGACGATCAATGGAGGCTGGAAGTGGTAGCCCAAACCACAGCACATCTATAATATTCTGAAAACAATACAAATTGGCTTTGCTATATTAAAGGTTAGAGACTTGACTTAATTGCACCAGATTCTATCCCATATGACTCTTATCTCTCTCAAAGAACAACTAGCCACCTGCCAAAAGCATCTTACAAAGCAGGAACTCTGGTGTCCATCCTGGAAATCTCCATAAAACTGCACCTGTGAATGAACGACGCAGCTGTGAATGAACGACGCAGCTGTGAAATGAACGACGCAGCTGTGAAACGAACCCACAAGGCAAACGACTTGACCATTACACCACAGCTTTGGTTATATTTTGTTAGCAAGGTCTTCTTTGTAGTTACTTAAATCAATTATACCTCTCATGCAGGAAAACATAAGTGAAGACATACACATGTCTTCCAAAGTACAACAGCATAGTCAACAGGACAATATCAAAGCAATTCACCTGTCTCAATAACAAAATAAAGTAGTGAAATTTAGACAGATCATGCTAAAGCAGCATTCCTCAAAATAGAAGAATATATAAAACATTTATCAAATGGAAGTGAGTTTGTTTATAGAGAGCTGATGCAAGGGACATTCAACAGACATGAGAAATTATACAAATGCCTGCAGAGATGTAGCCCTTTAGAAGAACGATGTCAGATTTAAAAAAAAAACTATAAGCATGGGGCCAGTTCGTTAGCCACTGTGGAAGGAGATGCAGTACATGTAGGGATGTCTAAGGCGCAGTGATGTCAATACCCGATTCATACAAAGACTGAAGGGGAATATGTCACGTCAAAAGAAAAGAAATGGCCGGGTTTTTCAACTAAGTTGGATCAGGAGCCAAAATATTGCAAACTGGGATCATCAAGGACAGGAGGCCCCAGCAAAGAAAGAGCATTAAAAAGATCATTAGGACAATACATGCGACAATGATCTGCAGGCCACATACATGCCTTGCAATGCAACTAAATCTAATAGCCCACATTTCCAATAGTTGACAATTTCCCAGATTGGCTAGTAAACAGCCTTTTCTCCTGGAAACTGAAATATTTTGCCAATTTTGAGCCCCACGGCGGATTAGTAACACAAATTATAGAAGGCATGCTACCAGGAAAGTGAGACAGGGGCCGATAGGCACATAAGTGACGAGTTGGACAGGAAAGTGCAACAGGTGGGAGAGCTAGCAAGATACTGTGAAATAAAACTTGTGAACCAAGACAGATCAACCTGTGAACAATCATCACAGATAAACTTGTGAACCAAGACAGATCAACCTGTGAACAATCAACACTGATCAACTTGTGAACAGAAATGAGAAACCCACCATTGCTGTGGCTGTAGTAATTTTGCTGATACCGGATCAATCTGTGAACAATCATCACAGATAAACTTGTGAACCAAGACAGATCAACCTGTGAACAATCATCACAGATAAACTTGTGAACCAAGACAGATCAACCTGTGAAAAATCAACACTGATCAACTTGTGAACAGAAATGAGAAACCCACCATTGCTGTGGCTGTAGTAATTTTGCTGCCACCAGATCAACCTGTGAACAATCATCACAGATAAACTTGTGAACCAAGACAGATCAACCTGTGAACAATCATCACAGATAAACGTGTGAGCCAAGACAGATCAACCTGTGAACAATCAAAGACGATCAACTTGTGAACAGAAATGAGAAACCCACCATTGCTGTGGCTGTGGTAATTTTGCTGCCGCCGGCTGCCCCTGTCACCAGTTTCACCCTGCCTGTGTTGTTATCAAAGACAATGGCAGGACACATGGAAGACATGGGTCTCTTCCCTGGTTTGATGAAGTTAGCTGGAGACGCCGGCAAGTTGAAATAGTTGGTGGTGTTTGGTGTTGAGAAGTCATCCATCTCACTGTTAAAGATGATGCCTGTTCGATGACCTTTGACTTGACACCCAAAACTGACAGAAATAAGACACATAGAAAAATTTAAAAAATTAAAGAGTGGCCTTTAAATTTTCTCATTTGTATCTTCTTGGCAAATTATAAATGCTCTGTTGTAAGGCAATCGCAGTTCTATCTCCACATGCTATCTTATAGTTGCTCTGTTCTTGTGCCAATAAAAACTAGAAATTGTCCACTGCTGTTCTTTGTGAAAAACAAACACATGCACACAGGCCTCAGCAAAGTCAATAGCATACACATAACAAAATGCATGAGGACGCATAAGGCAGCCAACAGAACTAAAATTCATCGTTAGTGTAAGTTATAACAAATCAGTTGCTGATTGCAAAAATGTACAGTTAATCCCAAAAGGCACTACCGGTTCTGTGGAAGTAAAGAAGAAGACAAGACATATTTTAGGCTAAGTTGAGCTGCAAAGAGATAAGAACTGACATTACAGTATTCCAGACAATCCCATTTCTGCTCCATCCTTATCTTCAGCAGCAAGCAAACAGCACCATCATAGAATTTGTGACCGGGTCGCCTGTAGATGACTATTGCCGGTCAGGACAGAATGTGGGGTCTGTCTCCTTTGATGGCATCAATTCTGCAGGAGCCATTTCATATTTGACGCACATAACCTAGACACAATTATAACCTAAAGCTCTTTCTTCAGGGATGCTGGTTGAACGTGACAGTTTTTTATTTTCCTCTCTAAAAAACCGAGGATGCTTATGAGCTTCACTGCGGATGGTAACAGTAGCAGTTTGATTATACAAGGTCCGACAATTAAGTAATGAGACTAACTCCATACAAATTGAAATAATCAACAATTGGAGATTTAACCTGTATCTGATTCAAAGTAAGCCCCATGTGCATTGATACAGTAAGTGGCACGATCTAACAAACACTGGAACTTCTGTTGTTATGGCCCTTAAATTCGATGATACGGCCCTTTGGATGTCATCAGTATCTTTAATGAAGTGTCCTTTCAATTTTTCAATTGTAACTTTAATTTTGGGAATAGAAAATAATCACAGGGAGACAAGTCTGGAGAATAGGGTGGAAGGCTGAGAACACACACTTGTTTCTGGAACAAAAATTTATTCTTGTTTTGATGATTTCTCTTGGGTACTCAACCCACTCATGTTTTTTGGTCATCTACAACGAATGTGGTACAAACCGGTAAGCAAATTTTTTTTGGAGAGGGGGGGGGGGGGGGGGGGGGTGGGGGGGGGGGGGGGGGTGGGGGGGGGGGATGTGGGGGGGGGGGGGTGGAGAGGGGGGTGGGGGGGGGGGGGGGGGGGCAAAATCTCTGCACTAAAATGTTATAAATGGTCTCTCCATTAACACCAGATTCATCATTCATCATTGTTTTACTGTGCGGATGCACAGTAAAACAATGATCTTCTTGTATGCACTCTCTAAATTTTGCAATGAGTGAGTTGATCATTACGAACAGAAATCTGGAGTCAAAGTCTAGGTGCATTAGTAATCATTTCCACACAATTATTAAATCGCGAATACCACATGAACATTTGTGCACGGGATAAACAATTATCCCCATAAACTTGTTGCATTAATTCAACTGTTTCAATCGTGCGTTTTCTGAGTTTTAAACAAGAATTTAATGTTAGCTTTCTGCTGCGTGCTGATTTCGTAACATTGTACCTCTGACTGGGTCAACAAAATGGCGGCTTCTTTGTTGTCTGCTTATCGAGCGGCGATGAAAAGTTGCCAAATCATAGATGAATGTTGCCTCTTTAGATTCCATGCTTTGCTTCATATATGGCATTTTTGTCTTGTCCATAATAAAATCAGTCTTATTACTTAATTGTGGGACCTTGTATGTCCACCTTGCTATCCCTCTGAGTGTAGTGTGTCAACCATATTCCCTGGCCACTGCACCATTGTCTCCGTAGTGTGACCATCTATTTGTGACACTGCATTCTTCATTTTCTCCTACAGGACCTTTACAACACCTAGCTTGTCATGCATCCGTTCACCTTCAAGTGGTACAGCACCAGCCAATCTGTCTGCCTACTCATTTCAAACCATACCTGTATATCAGTGAACACATCCATGATATCAACTAATGAGGACCCCTGAATCAATACTTACCACTCTGCATTCTAGGCTAAGGCTAACTGAAATGCAGAAAGCAGCCTTTTATTCCCTAAAATACTTCCATTCTCAAAATGGGAAATAGCAGCAGTATTTATTTTCGGTGGCTGTCAATTCTCTCGGATTGTTCTGTTTCCTAATCATGGACTGCTATTTTGTGCGCATTTCCAACGCAGGATATCATCTGTTTTTCATGGGAGCAGCGTGTATTGTGGTTGTGCTATGTCGGGGCGGGATAATGACCGATAGTTTCTGCAGCCTCGACCACGCTGCCTTCGCAATGTTTTGATCGCGGCGGTCCACTCAGGAAGACAGAATCTCGTCAGCAGGGGACTGCAACTGTCTAGAGAGCAAACTCGAAAAAAGCTGTCCCAGAAACAGAATGTCTCAACCATATATTTAGTGGGAAGGAAATGACACAAACTGTTAACTCAATGGCCATTCTCCTAAAGAGCACATGCCCCATCCAAATGGTGCCAAGCCCATCTAAGCACAGTTATGTCTTGCAGTTAACTGTCTTTCCTAGATTGCATTACTCATCTCATGTCTGCTTCCTTCCCATACAATTCAGCTGCCTCTACTGGCCCATTCACCTCTGATTTTCCAATTCAAACCCTTCAGATTTTGCCGGCAGTGCAGACTTTTGTCTATTTAACTTTTTTTCAATATTATTACCCCAAAGAGCCTTCTTTTTTCTTGGCTGCCTAACTTTTCCAGACCTGTCAATCATTACTGGCTGGATTCTGCAGCTAAGGTTTTTCTTAGGATGATGCTGCCAATCTCTCTTTTTGCTTTCCTTTTATTTTTGGTAGATTACAATGCTCCTATGCTTTGCTTCTGTCTCTACTACCTGTAGGTATCACTTTTTAAGGCTGTGGAGAAGAAAAGGGTGGGGGGGGGGGGGGGGGGTGCTTAAGCCTGCGGATTTAGGGCCACATGGCTAGTGCAGTAGCCACAAATTGTGCATGTTAGGATGCTACTTTCTGAGCCGGACCAACAATGTTACAGAGGATCCAGACTCAGGTCTCCCGCATGACAACCCAGCATTCTAACCGTCTGGGCAGCTGCTCTCTCTTCACTTTGCTTCTACCAACAAAGGCTTACTTACTAGGTGTTGACTGTGCTTGTGACGGAGACAGCATTTCCCTCAGCATCCACTACTGAGATATGAGCAGTGCCGTGATCGTTGTTCATATGGTAGGTTGGGTTGTAATAACTTGTGTCTTGTGTAAATGTGTCATTGATTTTCTGTCGTATTGTTTCACCATAAGCCAATGACTGCATCTTAGCAACATCCTAAAAAAACAAAATTAAAGGTCAATTGTTAACTATCCCATGGCATATACAATCAGCACATAATGGTATGAACTAGCTCCCTTTCGTGTCAACATCATTTAAAAAATATTTTCTTTTTAAAAAAAACAAACATTATGCTAGATATTATGTTTTTACATGCATCAAGCCATGCAGTCCTAAATCCCAAAGCCCCCCCCATTTCCACCTACACTAAAAAAGGGGAAAACAAAATGGCAGTTAGGTGTGTGTGTGCGGGGGGGGGGGGGGGGGGGGGTTAATTAATTAAAAAATTCCACCGTGTAGTAGAGAGGTTTGGGAATTAAAACTCAAGGTGATACTTATTTAGACAAGGAATGAAGCTTCACAGCATAAAGCCTGGTCAATAGTGTATTGTGGAGACTGTGTGTGCTGATGCAGAAGGATCCCACCCTCTACCTGATTAGGATTGAGTGTGTGTGTGTGTGGGGGGGGGGGGGGGAGAGAACACACCACTGCCTCCTAAAAAACATGTTGTAAATTATGAAAATATTATTAATTAGGAGTTGGCTGAAATCAGATGTGTTTGGATCAAAAGGTGCAGACATCACAGCCTAGCTGTAAACAACACTTTTAAGGGAAAATGCACAAGAAAAAGTATGGATATATTTCTACAGAAGCAGACTATTTAAGAATATGAAAACCAATCCTTCTCACTCCACATTTCAGCTGGAAATTATTGGGTGTTCATCACATAAGAGTTATTTATGAGGAAGTTGGAAAGAAGGAGAATAGCTCTACATTACTGTGAGACAGCAAACTGAACCAGACGACAATACTTACTTCAGCTACATCAACAAAGTCATCATCTCCCAGTTCACTTCTTTTTCCATAGGCAAATTTCATGGCTTCTACAATTCTGTGATGAGTCAAAATGGAAGCAGCATCATCCGCAATACTTGCTGGACTAAAATCATAGCCTGTGGTAACAATGTAAAAAAAAAGTTGTATTCAGTGGTCAGATTTACGGAGATAAAGATAGGAGAAGATAGCAAGACAGTTCTTGACAGCCTGTTATCATGGCAAGGTGTCAGCACATGAGCTAATACATCCTGCTGGAGACTGCAAGTAGCCGAGAGGCATGATCATCAAGAGGCCCTTGGAGAAATGTATGACTACACACACGTTAATATATACAAGCTTGTATAATAAACACACTGGTCAAAAACAGAAAAGTTAACAACAGACACACACAAGCAAAAATAAGCTACACACTGTGCAAACAAAGATTCTGTCACAGCAGCAGTATGACAAAATAAGTAAGACACATTGACCACAGTGTCAATAATGTCAGTGCTTCACATTCTTCACGGTTTCCCAGACCCTTTAAAACATTTTTGTGGAACCTCTTCACATTCTTATACAATTTGAGCAGTTTGTCCACATTATGAACCAGCTGTTTTATGCTGCCATCATCATCATCATCAATCTCCACGCATGCCTTAAGCATCGTGGTGGGCAATTTATGATCTGCAGCTCATAATGGCACTGGCCAAGCAATGGCACTGGCCAAGCAATGGCACTGGCCAAGCAATGGCGCTGGCCAAGCAATGGCCAAGCAATGGCACTGGCCAAGCAATGGCGCTGGCCAAGCAATGGCACTGGCCAAGCAATGGCACTGGCCAAGCAATGGCACTGGCCAAGCAATGGCGCTGGCCAAGCAATGGCACTGGCCAAGCAATGGCACTGGCCAAGCAATGGCACTGGCCAAGCAATGGCACTGGCCAAGCAATGGCACTGGCCAAGCAATGGCACTGGCCAAGCAATGGCGCTGGCCAAGCAATGGCGCTGGCCAAGCAATGGCGCTGGCCAAGCAATGGCGCTGGCCAAGCCATGTAGATTGTTGTTAATCCTTTCGTCTCTGAAAATCTTAACAAATATTTTCCTAAAAAATTTTGTAGAAAATAAATGCATTCTTATAATTCTTCAAAACTCAAGCTAACAAACAAGAGGAACAGATGATTAAGAAGCGGAAAAAATTTGGAGTCTTAGGCTGCTTTTATAACCACCCAGATGGTCGAATCTCTAGACCACTGAGTACACAGGCAAGTCTAATTTCAAAGCAACAGTATGGCAGTCGTGCCACTAAAATAACTCATTAATTGCTATTAATTTTCTCTGAGCAAATATTTGTTTTTGCTCAAGAGAATTTAATTACAAAATGCAAAGAGTTAACTGCTATCCTCCTCTTAACCATGAAAAATATGGTTTTTGTTGACCAAGCCATAGAAAGTAAAGTGAACTCATATGAGATTATTGTGACATCATAATTCTGAAAAAATGTGGATGAAATTTTTTTTTTAAACCTAATGATACCTTAATTTTTTATATATAGTAATACCCAGCATGTCTACACACTATGTAGTTACAGCCTGTACCAAAACTGTTATTCAGGCATTGTGGCGACCACCCAAAGACTCCATGCCATCAACAGATTCAGGACTCTGTGTGCTCTTTCTAATGCACTGAAAACGATGATCTTCATTTCTTTGAGACTGTTCTTGATTCTGTCATTACCCTTGTTCTGGATTCATTATATTTAATAAGCTTACTGACCGACTATGCAATGAACATAAGATACAGACAAGTGAAGAACATACCACTGAGAATATTGAGGATAAAACCAAGGACCGGTCCACTCCCTGGGGGTGGGATGGAATGAACACTGAAGTTACCCGGGAGGGTCATCACAGATGGTTTGGTCCACTTGACAGTGTAGTTTCTCAGATCTTCCAATGTTATAATACCACCTGGGAAGTAACAATATATTTCATTCATCATCCTACCGTGCCATACAGTGCTCACAGTCTATATCTCCATTCTGTTCATGCTTTGTCTTGATATTCAAAATATGGTTTTTATTATACAATTATAACATGCTTTGATGATAAAATACAACTGCTGTGTGAATGATTGGTGTCTGGAAGGGCCGAATGAAAGACAGGCCAGTGTGCCCAATTTCTCACCCTTTGGAAGTCAAGTTTGTTTGTTTGTTCTATCCTGTGCAATTACTTCAAATCATGGAAAGAATTCAGTCCAGCATCTTTGGCCTCTCTCATCAACATTCACTTTAAGGTTTCTCTTGAATGTCCTCGTTTCCTAACTCCCTCTATTTCCCATCACAGTGCCTGTTTTGGGATTCTCTGATCATCTCTTCTCAGAAAATGTCCAACATATCCCAGTCTTCTCTGTCTCTTGCCACTAATAGTTCTCCAGACATTTCTCTCTTTTTTTCCTTCACTTCTCTTGAATTCATTCCATTTTAGGTTCATCATTTGCCTCAGACATCTGTTTTCAAATGTATTTAACTTTAATTCCATATCTTTAACACATTACCACTTGTAAAATATAGCATCAGTAAAGCATGATTTTAAAGTAATCTCATAATATTTCATGTAATGTAATGTTACACGTAGTTGGCTGGCACTTTTCCATTTCGCCAGATGGCAGTGCTATATTATGCTATATCCCTCTAGCCAGCCTTCTAGGAGAATATGTCTCTCTACCTTCCTAATGCTGCGGCACTTTAATACAGTTCCCTCACGTTGTGGCGACTCCCAACAATTATTTTCCTTCACAACTTCAATATATGTTTTTTACTATGGTCTTAGGCGACAGTTGTGAAAGGCTCGTTCGACCAAAAAAGGTGTCGCAACTGGCAGGTTAAGAACCACTGCTCTGCGCTAATATGTTTGGTTTTTGTTTTCTTGATTTAAACAACCCCCCCCCCCCCCCCAATATTTAAATTCATTCCATTCCTAGTGTGTATGTTTATTCACAGCCAACAGCATATAATAAGAAAAATGAAAAACATGAACACCTAACATATATGAAATTAATTCAATGGGCTGTGACCTAAAAGCTTAATGAAAGTGAAACAACAAAACAGTAAGAACAGTTAAAGTTCATGTAGAGAAAGGGTCCAGGCGAAACACTGATTTATCTGTTGTGTTTATAATGTTCCCCTTTCATTAAGCTTTTTTGTTACGGTTCACTGAAATAATTTCTTGACATTAGCTTGAATGCAGACACCCCTGTTTTTATCAATCTTCATTCCAAGAGTTAAAAGCACAGGCACAACTCACCAGCATCTACAATATCTGCAACAACATCTTCAGCAAGGGAGCCAACATAGAAAGACAGCGGGTCATCAGCAATAGCTTGGAATGTCCTGGCAAGACGAGGCAGTCGGATTGGAGTTCCTGTAGGTTTTATATTGTGGTTGTGGTCAAAGTACTCACTGGAGAATAAATAACAACATCTCAAACATACTGCTTGCTATTTGGTTAAAAAAAATATTTGAACGTCACTTGCAGACTTCCCTATGTGGGTTACTAGGCCCCCATTGTAGAGAAAACAAGAATAAACCTAGCCTCCCCTAAAAAGCATGATGTAACAGTTGACTAATTGGAAACTTTCTTCAAAATTGGAGAGCATCTACCTGAGAGGGAAGGAACCAACAGCAGATACAAATAAACAAGATCTGTAAAATGGGTGAACACGCAAAAATCAGGTAGCCGAACTATGCCCAAGTCTGGAAGTGGATGAACAACCAGGTTTTCCCACCTGGGTTTACAGCCAGTGAAGGCAAACAACAACTTGCAGGCTCTTCCTCTTATGCTCTTTATTCCCCCAATGGAGCACAGGCCCTCAACCAACCCAGGCCAGGCTATTCTATCCTTCGATTCCGCATGCAGCTAAAAAACCTAGGTTTTCTTTACTGATTATGGAATGGCACAGGAAACAACATCTGCATGTTTCTCAGAGAAGATGCAAGCTGTCACTACCAATCAATCAACAAGTCCTTTACAGAATATTTCTCTCTTCACTGCATGCCTGCAAGTACCTCTTTCTCTAGCCAATTCTACAGCCCTGTGTGCTTTCACAGCCAATGTTTCTTAAATGCCTTGTTCCATCTTCGCATAGGGCGACCTCTGCCTCACTTTTCCAGAAACTGCACACCCCCCCCCCCTCCCCATCACGTTTCCCTTTAGACCACAAATGGCCAAAATACCTCAGCTTTTGGGACAGGATGTTTACCATATTTACTTAAATTTGTTTGCTGGAGTTTACAATCTCTGTTTTAATCATGTGTGTGACAACTGTCCCGTCTTTGCAACATCTGAGCACACAGTACCAGACGTATATTTTTGTAAGACCAACAGGCACTCACTGGGAACATAGCTATCATCATGCCAACTCTTTACTTCCTAGGACATTCACTGGTGTCCATTTCAGGCTGAGGTTGACCTGTAAGCCAAGTTCCATTTTCAAAACTCCACCTTGATGCGGGTTTGAACCACAGACTTTCAGGCCAGCAGGAAAGAGTCTAGCCAATACTCCACCATAGCTCCCAAAAATGTGTGATATTTACATTTTATTTCAACATCAGGGTGTCTTGAGCTCAGGAATCAGATTTCCAGGGATCAAAACTCCCAACAGGTCTCAAAGGTTTTGATATTTCCACAATAAGGCAGGATAATTTGATTTAGGCACAAAAAAATGATTTCCCATATAAGCACTTCATCTAGTGAAAATATATTTAGCTGCCACCCTAACTTTTATCATTTGAAATGCAAGGAAAACAATTTAAAAACAATTATAAAAGCTACTCACAAAAACTGATTTTTCAACTCTTGAGCTTGGAGCCGTCCCAGTGCAATATGAAGTGCGCTTGTAAGTGGTACACCGTTTTCACATAGTCTAACTGTTGGCATGACAACATCCCTCCAAGGAACCCGGCCCAGTTTGGAATGTACCTCGTAGAGACCTCTGACCTCACCGGGTGTTGCAATTGCCATGCCCCCTGCGGAATGAAAAACATGATGTATTTACATCCTAACCATACTCTGGAGACACTACCCAGTGAATGATAGAATGATTTTGTGGCATCTATTCTAAATCAGGCTAAATGACAAATAGTTAACATCCACAACCCAACTACCATAGACATTTGATCATATTTTTTAACATTATATATTTGTTAGTATCACTTATCATTTCCTTATCATGTAATGATTTTTTTTAAAGTAAATATAAAGCTAGTCAGAGATTCTAATAACTTATCCTTTCACAATATCTTATGAAATTTCATCATCTTGTTACGCCACTTATATGTCACTTACAGTCCATTCCTTTATTCTGTTCAATCCTGTCACTTACAGCCGGCAGTCTATTCCTTTATTCTGTTCAATCCTGTCGCTTACAGCTGGCAGTCCATTCCTTTATTCTGTTCAATCCTGACACTTACAGCTGACAGTCCATTCCTTTATTCTGTTCAATCCTGTCACTTACAGTCCATTCCTTTATTCTGTTCAATCCTGACACTTACAGTCCATTCCTTTATTCTGTTCAATCCTGACACTTACAGTCCATTCCTTTATTCTGTTCAATCCTGACACTTACAGTCCATTCCTTTATTCTGTCCAACCCTGTCACTTACAGCTGGCAGTCCATTCCTTTATTCTGTTCAATCCTGTCACTTACAGCTGGCAGTCTATTCCTTTATTCTGTTCAATCCTGTCACTTACAGCTGGCAGTCTATTCCTTTATTCTGTTCAATCCTGTCACTTACAGCTGGCAGTCTATTCCTTTATTCTGTTCAATCCTGTCACTTACAGCTGGCAGTCCATTCCTTTATTCTGTTCAAACCTGTCACATACAGCTTGCAGTTCATTCCTTTATTCTGTTCAATCTTGTCATTTACAGATGGCAGTCCATTCCTTTATTCTGTTCAATCTTGTCATTTACAGATGGCAGTCCATTCCTTTATTCTGTTCAATCTTGTCATTTACAGATGGCAGTCCATTCCTTATTCTGTTCAATCCTGTCACTTACAGCTGACAGGCCATTCCTTTATTCTGTTCAATCCTGTCACAGCTGGCAGGCCATTCCTTTATTCTGTTCAATCCTGTCACTCACAGCTGGCAGGCCATTCCTTTACTCTGTTCAATCCTGTCACTTACAGCTGGCAGTCCATTCCTTTATTCTGTTCAAACCTGTCACATACAGCTTACAGTCCATTCCTTTATTCTGTTCAATCCTGTCATTTACAGATGGCAGTCCATTCCTTTATTCTGTTCAATTCTGTCACTTACAGCTGGCAGTCCATTCTTTTATTCTGTTCAATCCTGTCACTTACAGCTGGCAGGCCATTCCTTTATTCTGTTCAATCCTGTCACTTACAGCTGGCAGGCCATTCCTTTACTCTGTTCAATCCTGTCACTTACAGCTGGCAGTCCATTCCTTTATTCTGTTCAAACCTGTCCCATACAGCTTACAGTTCATTCCTTTATTCTGTTCAATCCTGTCATTTACAGATGGCAGTCCATTCCTTTATTCTGTTCAATCCTGTCACTTACAGCTGGCAGTCCATTCTTTTATTCTGTTCAATCCTGTCACTTACAGCTTGTAGTCCATTCCTTTATTCTGTTCAATCCTGTCACTTACAGATGGCAGTCCATTCCTTTACTCTGTTCAATCCTGTCACTTACAGCTGGCAGTCCATTCCTTTATTCGGTTCAATCCTGTCACTTTCAGCTTGTAGTCCATTCCTTTATTCTGTTCAATCCTGTCATTTACAGATGGCAGTCCATTCCTTTATTCTGTTCAATCCTGTCACTTACAGCTGGCAGTCCATTCCTTTATTCTGTTCAATCCTGTCACTTACAGATGGCAGTCCATTCCTTTATTCTGTTCAATCCTGTCACTTACAGCTGGCAGTCCATTCCTTTATTCGGTTCAATCCTGTCACTTTCAGCTTGTAGTCCATTCCTTTATTCTGTTCAATCCTGTCATTTACAGATGGCAGTCCATTCCTTTATTCTGTTTAATCCTGTCACTTACAGCCAGCAGTCTATTCCTTTATTCTGTTCAATCCTGTCACTTACAGCTTGTAGTCCATTCCTTTATTCTGTTCAATCCTGACACTTACAGCTGACAGTCCATTCCTTTATTCTGTTCAATCCTGTGAAATCCTTCTGATATCATGGATGAAATCCAGTCCAGCAACTTTAGCTTGTCTCAAGCAATGTTCCTTTCAAAGTTTTCCCTGGATGTCCTCACTTCCTCAATCCTGTGTGTTTCCCATTTCCCACTATGTAATATTATAAGTTAAATACTGAAAACAACCGATAATTTCAATCACAACTGACAAAGCAGAATCTACAAGAAGGAAATGTCTGCCAGAAAATTTCTAAATAACTCCATTTTTACAATGGTCAATAACTAAACTGTGTTTTCAAAAAAGGGCAAATAACTAACATGACTGATTTCAAAAAGGGCAAATAACTAACATGACTGATTTCAAAAAGGGCAAATAACTAACATGATAGATTGATTTAAAATCAAAAAAACAAAAGAAAAACCATCCAGATTATGGTTGTTGTGCTTACATGAACATACAGACATAGCTCAACATCTGAGTTAAGTATGAGTGAAGACCCCCCTTCCATGGCCTTCAACCCAAATCGGTTTTGGTCCTAGAAAACCGGTTTACGGTCATAGATCCTGGTAAACATTGGAAAAATGCATTTTCATAACATATGATTACATTAACATTGTTTAACTTCAGTGTTTTCTCTAGAACATAATCAGCTAGAATTCACAGCAGTAGTTAAATTTAAATAAAGGCATGCAGAGAAAAAACAATATCATTTATCAAAGCCAGTCCAGAAATACATTTCAAATGACACAACTCTCCTTAGAATGACAACCAGCACAGTACATAATATTGTCAGGCCCGATCTTAGAATTCCAGCACAATATAACAACCCCTCATGTCACAGACAATCACTAACTCAATATACAGACATACTGTCCAAATTAGAATCATAATACTTCACTGTGAACTCAGATTACATCTGCACAGAGTGATCAACATAATTAGCACACCTGTATGTCCCCTGTGGAACATACGGCTGCAATAGGCTGCTACAGATTTTTCTTGTGAGCTGTTTTTCCACCCATCAGCTATTTTCGTGTCAGTTTAAAAAGCCTCTTGCTACTTTTGTTTTGTTACATACAAAGATAGCCAGACATGCTATGTTTGTTTTTTTGCCGCTGTCCATCATTCAGAAACAGATCATCATAAATTATTTTTTTTAAAGTATGCAAAGCAGTGACGCCAAGAATTTGTTTTAAAAGGTAAGTTGCACTAAGAAGATAGAGGCCAACCCACTGTTTACAGGAACTGAAAACAGAAAGAAGGTTGCCACGGCTTTGTAAAGACAAAAGTGACTGTATGAAGACCAATTAAAGAGATTGACTGCAAAACTTGGCAGGCAATGAAGAAACTGACCTAGGAACAGATTCATAGTCCAGGCATAGAGACCTGTCAGTGAAGAAATGTGTAAGACTGATGAAATGAGCAGGTAAGGTGGGACAACGCTGAGAAAGATAATAATAAAGATAGAAAAAAAAGGGCTGAACAAGCTGATGGGCTGAGTGCACTTCAAAGGTGTCTGATTATGGCATTTTCACATCTGCTAGCATTCTTTCAAGTTTTATATTAGGATCACTTTTCACAATAAGTCACATACAAAGATTTGGCTATTGCAGCTCTTGGATCAGCTGTATGTGTAACTATTAATTACAACACAGAATTGTTTTGATGCACACAAGTCCATCATGTGTATCAAAACAATACTACAACATCCTTTTATATAACTTGTGGGACACAAAAACTAGTAGTATGTTCGTGAAACACAAACCAGCAAACTGAAAAATATCTAATGGCAGCGGAAGTGTAGCTTTTGATAAAATCTGAAGAATAACACAAAATCAAAGAAGGAACAAATGAGGCAGCTCTCCAAGACACAGATCACCATCATAAACACGAGAGTGATGGAGACAATTCTGATGACCCAAGCACTGAGTGAACGCAGAGACACCAAGATGCTAATACAAGCAGAGAGTTTCTTTGCATGCCTAGACACCCTGTGAACAAAAGATTTCAAAATCTAGCTTTGGGCCGACTAAAGAGAAGTAGTTTCATCCACCAGACCAAACAGCTCTGCAGACAAACCACTGATCTGCCTACAACTGATAGCCCCTGAAATGCTGTTCCAGAATGGACCCTCTGTAGAGGAATATAATTTTCCAAATCACATCAAGACAGAAGTGAAAGGAGTATTTGACATGAAAGAACAAAACAGTGAACAGTGTAAAACAGCCACCCTCAGTCTATTTGATGATGAATACCTGCAGAATCTTATGGGTCCGTGTTTACACAGAGGGGTCAGCACAAAATGCAATCAGAAACAGAGGAGCAGGAGGGTACACTGAGCACCCTAATACCAGGGACAAAGCCAATATACCAACAGGAAAGAAAGCACTGTCACAACTACGATCCAAAACTTCTGACTAAGAGAGACACTGGTGGAAACCAAACTTTACGGGCAGCTAAGTAAATTAAAAAAGACTGAAGTTCATACTAGAGACAACATTGGATACAGATAATTTATTTCAAGTGAAAAAAAAAAAAAGAAGAATATTAAACATGAGAGAAATTATGAATATAAAGTCAGACACTTATCGACATTTTATTGGAAGGAATAAACTTTAAAACTTGATGACAGCTGGCAAACTTCATGGGAAAACAGCATAGAGATGACAAAATAAATATTTGGGTAGCTTGGTCATAAGGCATTAGCGGGACAAGACAGGAAGTCTTTGCTGATGACCAAGCTATGATAGCAGTTACAGCAATAAAGCTGAAACATTGCACATCAATGAATTAAGTAAGAATTTAAATATGAGAATCAGCATGGGGGAAAAGTAATGGCCAAATAAAGAAAAAAAAAAGTAAACATTAAAACCAAGTACTGAGATAGCTAGACCCATTTTTATAGGACAAGACAGTCCCAATTAGCACAAAGAAACATCACAAACATAGCATATCATCATTCCCCCCTCAGCCCCCCCCCCCCTACCCTTCCCCCCTCCACCACCAATTCGACTAGTGTTAGACACCAGACATGGTCGCTCACAACAAATCAGAAAAGAAAATTAGTATCCAAGGAAAAGAGATGTCTGGGAATCACTGCAGGAGTGACAAGAAGAAATAGAACCGGAAAAAAAAGTATAAAGTCTTTTGAAAAAACAAGTCAGCACAGAACCAATGCTTAACTACACACAAGGACACAGGCAGAAAATCAAGCAGTGGCTCTCAACCTTACTAACGCCAGGACCCTTTCATACAGGTTCCTCATGTTGTGGTGACCCTTTCATACAGGTTCCTCATGTTGTGGTGACCCTTTCATACAGGTTCCTCATGTTGTGGTGACCCTTTCATACAGGTTCCTCATGTTGTGGTGACCCTTTCATACAGGTTCCTCATGTTGTGGTGACCCTTTCATACAGTTCCCTCATGTTGTGGTGACCCTTTAATACAGGTTCCCTCATGTTGTGACCCTTTAATACAGTTTCCTCATGTTGTGGTGACCCTTTAATACAGTTCCCTCATGTTGTGACCCTTTAATACAGTTTCCTCATGTTGTGGTGACCCTTTAATACAGTTCCCTCATGTTGTGGTGACCCTTTAATACAGTTCCCTCATGTTGTGGTGACCCTTTAATACAGTTCCCTCATGTTGTGGTGACCCTTTAATACAGTTCCCTCATGTTGTGGTGACCCTTTAATACAGTTCCCTCATGTTGTGGTGACCCTTTAATACAGTTCCCTCATGTTGTGGTGACCCTTTAATACAGTTTCCTCATGTTGTGGTGGACCCCCAAACAATTATTTTCTGTCATAACTTCAATGAATATGTGTTTTCCGATGGTCTCAGGCGACTCCTGTGAAAGGGTTGTTTGACTCAAAAAAAAAGTTGAAAACTGCCGACTTAGAGAGAATGCTTTGTGACACCATTCAATATAATGTCATATTAGAAAAATGGAGAGGGATTTAGAGTACAAGGCAGACAAATAACAGAATGGAAAGATAACAGCAGTATGATGTATGTACAGCTGTGGTGGCCAGAGGAGCAAGAAACTAGAACCTGCCATCTCCCTCGACACCCGAAGTGGCATAACAGGAAGTGAATAAGAACAGATGAACTGCTTTCTAAGAAGAAACTAAAACACTGCATTCATGTTGAGACTGTGACTGCAGAAACCAGCGAGAAAATATTCTGAAACTAAATGGAAATATTGTTCTGTTGGCCACATTAAAGAAGTCAGAATACTGTAACAACCCCAGACTTTCTTCAGAATCAAACAACAATATCAAAGACTACTGTTGTTAAATTAAATAAGATTAGGACACGCAGGTTAACAGCAGCAGAATTCAGTAATGATTTAGCCACTGTACACACTGATAAGGAGTCACTTATGTTATTCTGAAGATACAAAAATCACACATGTTACACTAATGATAATGATCAACTATGCCACTTATGATAAGTCACTAGTGAAGCTCCACAAAGAACTAAGCCAACTTTTTATTGTGTTTAAAAGGAGTTTATGGCTCAGCAATTAGTGTGTGTTTATGTGGGCCAATCGCAAAAAAAAAAAAATTATGTTATAATGCACTCTTTAAATACACGTCACAAGAGGAGTGATATATGGATTGCCTACCCCACCCTGAAACAATTACAGTCACAAAACTCAACCAAGCAAGTAAGTCTAACAAGAAAACATGTATTACTCAGCCAACAAAGCATTTGGGGAGGCTCTTCCAGTAAAAGTATGAAGGACTACATAGAAAGCGAAAGCAGCCTGGATCACTGAGCTATATCCTATTTTACCTAGGAACATTTTCACAGCTGGTGATCTGAATATTACAAATGTGACGAGACAGACATTAACTATATGGAATGAGCTTCAGCACACAGCACAACAAAGGATAGTCTGGCATGATTTGGGCGGGGACTTTTCTCTGAAAGGTTTTTTTTTTGGCAGAAGAAGAAAATGAACCGGTTAGCCCTGAAGATGATTGGACATAAACCAGCTTCAATGCTGAAATATAAGAATTACAAACTTCTTCACAAGTTTAGCTTAGAGAGCTTTTACGTGATAACTAATAACAGTAGTAGAAAGACTTAAATGCAACCAAATTAACCAAGGCTCAACCAGCTCAATACTGCATTCGAGGGGGAGTCAAATACTTGCAATGTGGGATGATTCATTCCTTTCTTCTAACTTTTCTTCCTTGTCACAGAACAAAGATGAGTTTACTTATTATTTTTAAGAACACATGTTTAACAATTCTGTGCAGCTCAACTTGAAACCAGACACAAGAGTAATCAAAGCAGTAGAGCTTTCCCCACTGTGATCTCTACAGGGTAACACAGACCATGTTCTTCTGTAACCATGTGTGACATCTGCGTGTAAGTCATTGACATCACTCTGCAGACATATTCAACCTTCTCTTCTTGCCTCCACTTTTTCTTGAGCATTCCCTGAGATTCGCTGCTGCATTTATCACACCTCTTCATTCACCTAAGTGACTGGCTTTCTCTTTCCAGTTGATAACTCCATAGTGTTTGCGAAATCTGTCAATATATTATCTCTCCACCGTCTTCTTGGTCTGCCTGATCTACTCTTATTCAACTCCGTGTACGCAGCTTTTGTCTGTGTTATCTGCCATTCTCACTGCCTCGAATATCTCAGATCGTCCAGACTGTCATAGCATTCTCCACACACTCATCTCACAACATGATTAACTACAGCTATCTTGCCCCTGACAGGAGTAATCATCTTGGCTTTTTAAATCTGTCTTCATAACAATCTGTGCCATTCTTAGCTTCTACAAAGGAAGCACACCTCTATAGCCAACAGGGCTATGAAGGCTGCAGCATCCATCTTCATTAATACTTTAAAATCAGACATATGGACATTATTTTGTCTGTGTGGGTTCCAGAGCCCCATTTAGAGAGAAAAAGAACAGACTTTTTGCCCCTAACAAGTGTGCTGTAAAAGGTGACTAACTAAGGATGTTTCCTCTGAAGTGAGTACATCTGCCTAAAGCGAAGAATCAACAGTCTGCACACAAATAAGCCAGATCTGTATCACGGATGTACGTGCAAAATTCAAGTTCTAGAACGAGAACAAAATCCAGAAGTGAAAGAACAACCAGAACTTTCCGTGCGAATGTACAGATAGTGAGCGTTAGGATGAAAGAAGATACTGCCTTCTTATGTCTACACTCAGAATGAGAGATTAGGAGTAAAAATCGTCCCTGACCGGTAAGAGAGGCCTTGTCAGTCATCACAGAAATGGCACTATTAGCCATGGGATATTGATGAACATTGGAAGGGACTGAAGAGAGTATAGGGCGATTTGGATGTATCAAGAGGGATAGAGATTAAAAAAAATAATAACTGAACTCACTGGCTTCTATGCAGTTATTATGTACTAAAACAGAATTGATTGTATGGATACTCTTCCTAATTATTTACAGAAAAAAGTGTCATTGACAAACTCTCAGAACATCACCTTACCAGTTCACACATGAGCTAACTGAACATAATATTTGTCAGCTATCTGAATATACTATCTGATATACTGGCTAGCTGACAATATTGGAAACATGAAACACCATAAAACAAGTTATCTAAACTTTATCAAAACCAGAGCTTGTTTTACCTTGCAAGTTAAAAACACATGTTACAAGACTCATTATAATACATACATTTCACCTGAACACACATAATTAATGGCAGCAGGAAAATGCATGGCAGTATCAGGAAGTCAAAAATAAACAGCTATTCACATACCTCCCCACCATAATGAGCTCCCAAAAAATAGAGGCACACAACAGAAACTTTACTGCCTTCACCAGCTGTAAACTTTGACGGAAAGTTCTGACTGTTCTTTCACATCTGAACTTTAGTTTTGTTCTACTGTTCCAGAAAGTGACTTTTGCAAACATCCTAAATTTCAATACCAAGTTATGCTTCAAAAATGTATTTAAACCAGAACAGATTAATGTTGAAGAGAAACAATGTTAGAGGTAACTTGACAGTTATACAAACCTGACAAGGTAAATTAAAACAAATGTATCTGGTATTTCATGCACTGATAATGAATTTTTAAAGATAAACAAGATGGTAAATGGAGAAGAAAAGAGAGAAACTTACCATAAAGGGATTTCTTTTTATCTTCCGGGGCCCTGAACATGTCCTCTGTGGCTGCCTGTGGGGCAGTCTCCCTGCTGTCCACTGCATGCCAGCCATGTTCACTAAACGACAAAGGTATATCCATATATCAGGGCTGGGACACAGCAGCTTTATTGTATACTTGTGTTATGTATGAATATGGGTGTGTGTATATCAGGGGCAGGGAACGTCCCGATGCCAGCTGCGTAAAGCTGAATTTAACTGTTCTGGCCCTGGGAAGCATTGCTGGCAGGGGGCGTGGTGAACCTAAGGATTTGAGGCCACATGGCAAGTGCAGCCTGCACTAAATCAAACATAAAATGCGACTTAAAAGCTTTACAGAGGGAATGGAAAAGGCCATTCCAGTCGCCATGAAGGAAACAGTTCAATATTTTTTTTTTTTGCCTTGACAAACAAACAAAATCTCCACCCTCTTGGAGGATCAGGCTCAGGTCTCCTCCAAAGGAGCCTGGCATTCAAACAATCTGGCCACAAAATATAAAGGCTACACCTTTCAAACTAAACTCTCAGAGTCCCAGACAACACACCCGAGTCATTATATAGTACTCTTGTGTGTGTTGTACATCTGATGTTTAGTTGGGGACTCAAAGAAGCGTTGACCACATATTTGGGTTCTAAGAGAGCTGGATATATGGCCCATGTGGAAGCGGTACACATATCATCCGCTGTTTTTACTGCACTCTCTGAAAAGATTTATAATTTTACCTCAGTGAGGCTTTAACCAGGGACACCTGTGGCTTAGGGTTATGGACGTGGTTCATAGTTCCAAAATACCCTGTTGGATTCAGCTGCAGATGAATTGGCAGCAGACAGCTTTGTGTTGATTTCACAATGATATGGAACACTCACTGAGGGTTCAGAAAACAATGGCAAACTAGTGAGCATAAAATTGCTCAGTAAAGTTATAAACAGGCAATAAATAATGGGATAGGTTTGCAGCTTCCTGTCAAGGATATGCTATCAAATCTGATTTGTTGTATCAAAAGCTTTTCATCAAAAAGACATAACATGTCACATAAAGTGCAGGTTTTAACAAAAAAAATATAGACCAATGGAATAAAAAGGCCTCTTTTTTTAATGTAAGTATAGTCTTGGCCCCCAAGTCAACCCAGCGCTTAGTGGGTATCAGATGTAGTCCTGGTAAATAAAGGTGATCAGTGTGATACTTACCACATCACCCACCAAATACCAACTGGTCTTTAAAATATAGGTCTAACCCTTTATGCATTAAGGCGTGAAAAGGGTCCTATTATATATAGGAGCAGAAGGAGATAAACTTACCTGTCATATATAACAAAGAATGATCCTCCTCCTATGCCACAGCTGTGAGCACTTATGACACCTGTAGCTAACACAGCAGCTACTGCAGCGTCAACTGCGTTACCTCCTCTATGAGTTAGAATGTAGCTGCAATATAAAGTTTTTCACAAGTTTACAAAATGAAGCTGAAATCCAATTCTTAGCACTTCACAATCTCTTTTACCGCTTTGGATGTTGAGGAGGGTATAAACTCTGGTTTTTGCTCTTCTGCGTACATCAAATATAGACATGCCATGCTGCTGTAGAGTCTCTTTGATGTTATCTTTCTATAAGTTCTTGGTCTACCCCTGAATTCTTTCTTTTTTCGTCACTCTTGCAGCCTTTCTTAGACATCTCATTTCCATACAAATTGTATGTTCTGGTTTATTGTTGTGTTTGCCACTCGCAGCATAGGGTGGACATGAGTATGTCTTGTATGAGATGTTTCTTGGTGCTGACTGGGACTGTCTTGGGCTGTGGGGAGGGAGGGAGGGGGGGGGGGGGGGGGACTAGCTACCCCAATACTTATTTTTACAATCTATTTAAACTAGATGATGGTACAGGGTCATATGAATACTAAATTATTCTTGAAATTGGTAAAACATGCATTTCAATAGCAGACAGTTCTGTAGTGGTGTAATATTTTAGATGCACATAATCTGTTTCTAATTCATTATCCACTCACTCGATCCAAGACAGCTTTCATCATGCCTGCTTTACCATACACTAGCCTGACAACAAGACGAAAATCAGCCAGTCTATCCGCTTGTTCATTGTTTTCAACACTCATATAATGTTTAAAAAACCTCTGTGCTCCTGGCGTTTTTTCCAAAGTTATGCAAGCCACTTAATTCCATCACATGTGAAAAACACAGTGATTTTATGACAATCATTTCTCCCAGAACTGATTTATAATACAATAATTTGTAATAGTTTGATGTGTTTAATCATGACACTTAATTTTACCCCCAAAAAAAGTTTATATTTTAAATAGAAATCTACCTTGCCGTCTTCCGAAAGCAAATAGTTCATGTAAACTAAAAGAAAAATAACAGACCTACTGTCCTATAAGAAGGTGATAACTATGAATTTGCTGAAATCGTCAGGCTAAAAAGTGCAGATATCACAGCCTAGCTGTAAGACATCATGTTCTGTGTACTGCATTTGTATGCTACTGGCTTAGTCAAGACTGCAGCCTGTTAAAATGTTTCAACAAGGGAAAGTGAAATACAATCTGTGTGGTCTTCACTGGCATAATTATGGCAAGATTTTGTTGTTATGAAGTTGAAACTGCAAATAACTAACAATGTATCAACTGCCCTTTTAAAGGTGAATGAAAAAAAAAAAAAACAGAAAGCTTAATTATGAAAAAGAATATAATAAATCAAAATACAGAGAGAGTCAGGACACTGCTGACTCACTTTCCAATATCTGAAGCAATCTTTGAATCAGCAACTAAAGCTGCGTTTTGATAACTTCCTGTGGCAGACTTGTATGAAATATTATCTTGTCCAGATTTCTCACAATTTTCAGAGTCTTTCCTCAGGCCCATTCCAAGCCCTACTACAAAGCCAATCCTGATGATGAGTGCACCAACAAGGACGGCAGTGAGAATTAGGTGGCTGGAAGAACTGCAAATTAATAAGAAACCGAATTAGGAAGGTAAAAACACATTTTAAAATAGGCCCTGGGAACATGGGATGACATTTACATTGAAAATTCATCTTTCAAAATCAAATGTTTATTGTTGTTTGTCCATCACAAGTGATGACGACCACTCTTTCTGTAATTCATCATGAAATTGGTTGAATTCTGTGAGTTTGAAGGTGGCTTATAAGTCCAACAGAGTCCCAGAAAGATCTAGGACAATGATGGAAGGGAACAGTCTGTAGGTAAGGGGTCTGTTGTACAGCTTTTTCCTAGCCTGCCTGTGCTGCCCCTCTTTAAACATACGTTCACCATGAAGTCAAGTCTTGTGCGGCAGCCTCCTAAGTGTCAGGGTCTATTTAGAGGTATAAAGTGACATTTTTAGCATATCCTTGAAACTGGTTTTTTCCTGGCCACCATGAGAGTGTCTATCTTACTGTATCTCACCATATAAGATTATTTTTGGAAGCTGCTGATCTGGCGAGCAGACAACGTGACCTGCCCATCGAATGTGTGACTGCAACAGCATGGTATTGATGCTGGGAATGTCAGCTCTATCCAATATGACAGTATCCGGGACCCCGCATTGCCCCTTGATGTTTAGTATTTTTCTTAGACATACTGTACGGAAGTGGTTGAGCTTCTTTGCATGATGTCTGTAGAAGTCCATGTTTCTCAAGCTAATATATAGCAGCAATGAAAGCACCACAGCTCCACATACCTTCAGTTTGGTTTGCAGACTGATACCATTTCAAATCCAAACATTGGTGTATAGCCAAATGTGCAGCTGGCTTTAGAGATCCTGGTGTTCACCTCATCGTCAATGGTTACATTGTGAGAGTTACTACCAAAATAGTTGGCTCAGTATGCACTTTGCCTGGTGCCAGACGGTACAAGATTTTGGTTTTCTCTGTGTTAATGGTAAACCCAAAGTTGGATTCCAGACTGCAATACATCATGCAGCAGTTGCACAACGATAATGTCTTTGGGCAGCTGTATTTTGCCATGATCTTCTTTAGACCCTCTGTTGACTGAATCGAACATTTCTGTCAGGTCAATAAAAGCAACAAGTAAATCACACTGCTGAAATTGTTTCTTGTAGCTACCTTTTGGCCAACACCATGTCTATGGTTCCACACTCTTTCAAAAATCCACATTGACTTTCAGATAGCAGGCCTTCATCAAGACGTTTAGTAAGACGAATTATGAGTATTCTTGAAAGTATTTTCCCTGCTATTGACAGTAATAAGATGCCTTGGTGATTGCTGCAGACCCGGCGATTCCCTTTCGACCTGTAAGGATGTATTACTGATGCTTCCTTGAATTCTTGTAGGATGATTACATTTAGCCATATGTGCTGGAGACCACAAGAAGCTTTATCCCTGCAGAGTTAGTGAATTACCTTCTGAGTTTCTTCTAGAGAAGGCACTCCATCAAGTGCCATGTTTTGATGGACCATGACTGCTTTAAGTGCATGGTAGCAATTTTTAAGGTCACACCTGTTGTGAAATGTTTACTACAACAGACGAGATGGTTTGGTCATGTGACGAGAATATCCTGGTACTGACTGCCATAGAGAAATAGGCTGAAGAAATATAATGAATACACAGCAGTGGAAAGATAATGCAACAGATTAAAGGATAGCATCAAGAAATAAAAATCAAATTAAATAACACACTAGAAAGAACACACAAAAGGTCCTTACATCTCCCTCCAACTCTGATAATGACAACTGGAGAAAGAGAGGAATCAGGAAACCACAATATTGCTACATGGAAAACACTCTGTAGTCAATATTAATCTGCTGACAACATCAGTTCAGCTAGAAACCAATAATTGATTACAGTATGTTACCTTACTATGGGGAAAGCTATCATTTATTTATTATGACAATGTTATGCTTAACAGCATAACACGAACTGCAACCAACCAGCCCATATCATTAAGCATACTTAATGTTTTTATGAGCACAATGTATAAACAAAGAAGATCGTAAGCTGCTTGTATGCAGACCTATGTATTGCCCCATTATTTTAGGCAAGTCTTAAAGTTTAATTCAAACAATGGATGACTTGTATATTGATTTCTCATAATGTAGTTATTTAATTTTTTTACACTTTATCTGTCCTATCCAGTTGGCTAATAAACAGCATTTTGTCTGAAATTCGTTGCCACATAGAGCACAAAGGTGGATTGGAACAAATAAGAGCAGAAAGCATGGTACCAGGAAGGAGGGGCAAGGGCCGACCCACACAAAGATGGGCACAGGATATAAGTCACTCCTTGGATATATATGAGGCTGGACAGCTGGCGAGAGATAAAGGTTCTTTATGAGTGACGTTATGCAAAGGACCTGCTACAGGATGATGATGATATAGTTAATAATACTCTTATCCAAATTACTGTCCAGAACTGGGGTGCCATTATAGCATTAACTAAATTCTAAAATTAAAATCTGGGTTCCTAGTAGCAATTATCTTACTTTAAAATTACTGACAAGAAAACTTCCTGCAAGAATTTTCTAGGACAGAATGAACTTCCACACCTTAAGCCTTAAGGCATGTGGTGCTAACCCAAAATGTTAATCATACACGAATCAGCTCTCAGCTACAGTATTGTTCTGTTTGAATGAAGGAATCAAGAACTGATATCAGGGTACTCAGGACATTCCCAAATGTGCTCAGTCTCCTTCCATCCAATGAAGAGTTAACGTGCTAAAAGTACCAGCTGCTACCTGGTTAAAAATCCGCCTATGCTCTCTTTCCTTCTTCCCCCCCCCCCCCCAGGCTTGAATATCTTCGAGAACCTCCACTTACCCCTCTCCCCCCCCCCCCCCCTGCTTAAATTTAAATGAGTATTTTTTATTACTTTCAATGTACATTTTTTAATGTTCCACTGCACAGTCCATTTGATTACAGATAGTCTTCACCACTTCCAGTTTTATCAAAAAGTAGCTCACCACCCAGAGAAGCAGCGGCAGCCAATGATCTATCAGCTTAAAAGAGGGAGAACCTTTTATTTTTTACATGACTAAATGGACAAGGTGCAGGGAACAGATAAAATATATTGAGGATATAGGCAAAATTTATTTTTCTGAGGGGGGTGGGGGGGGGGGGGGGTCTTTATGGTGGAAAGTGAGTCGTCGCTTGTCTAAACACAAACACCAGGAGCCACAATGTTTACAGTACTGTTCACTGGGTATTGGATCAGCAAGAGTAAGAAAAGACGTGACAGCACTAGCAGCCGCGTACGTATTTAAAAAAAATAAACAATTTGTAAACACCTCCAGTAAGTACAAAATAAATATATTAAAACGCACACGGTTAGAGGGGTCAATGTCAGGGCTAAACAGTTCAACAATTTCTTTCATCTGATATTAGAGAGAAAAGAAAACCCAACGAAACTAAACAAGACCAAGAACGGCGGACAATAGACAACACTGACGTCAGACAACATTGCAGATGCCGGTCTGTCTAGACAGGGATTTCAAAAACATATACATGTTTCGACATCAACAACACTTACCGTCTCGAAAATTTGGATAATTGCTTCTGCTTCGAATTTAACGTTCAAATCCCCACAATCCAGGCCTAAAAACTATAGACGACGTTATTTACTAAACTAACTGCGTCGAATTTGTAAAAATGGTTGAGCTGGTTTGACTGGCACGCTGTTCTGCCAACTGTTTGGTAATGATGAATCTGTAGTGCGATGTTTCTTCTATAAATTTGCAAGTAGTGCTTCAAAATTGTGATCGTGCAGGTAACTAGTTCCCAGGTGGGCGATTCTGGTAAGTCTAGCTAGCTAAATGTGCAGTAAATTGAAGGATTTGTGTGGACAAGAGCCGGCCCATGCACCACCAACGTGTCGTCTGCTCGTTCCAGTCGCCTCCCTTTCTCATTGTGAGTAATTCGGTCTCTGCCGGTTCTGACTGGAATTTGAAGTCCAGCGCGCTTGTTGTGTGACGGGGGGATCGCTAGGCTTGGGGATCGTTGGGTGGAACCCCAGCTTTTGTGTTGTGTGAATGGGGATAAACAGGCTAGGGGGTCACTAGGTGGAACCCCGACTTTACGTTGTGTGGGTGAGGATGGTTAGGTGGAACCTCTGCTTTGTGTGTGTGTGTGTGTGTGTTGCGTGCGTTGGTTATTGTCAGGATGGGGGTCGCTGGATGGAACCCCCGCTTTTTGTGTGTATGAATGGGGGTAAACAGGTCAGGGGATCACTGGGTGGAATCCCCAGTCGTTTGTTGTGTGAGTGAGGATGGTTAGGTGGAACCTCCGCTTTCTTTGTGTGTTGCGTGCCTTGGTTATCGTCAGGATGGGGGTCGCTGGATGAAACCCAGCTTTTTTGTTGTGTGAATGGGGATAAACAGGCCAGTAGATCACTGGGTGGAACCCCGGCTTTAAGTTGTGTGAGTGAGGATGGTAAGGTAAAACCTCTGCTTTGTGTGTGTGTGTGGGGTGGGGGGGGGGTGTTGCGTACCTTGGTTATCGTCAGGATGGGGGTCGCTGGATGAAACCCCCGCTTTTTTGTGTGTGAAAGGGGATAAACAGGCCAGGGGATCACTGGGTGAAACCCCCTGTTGTTTTGTTGTGTGACTGAAAAGTGGTTAGGTGGAACCTCTGCTTTCTTTGTGTGTGTGTATGTGTGTGTGTGTGTTGCGTACCTTGATGATCGCCAAAATGGAGGTCGCTGTTTGGAACTTCCGCTTTGTGTTGTGTGAATGTGGATCGTCAGGCTGGGCGGAGGGGTGGGGGGGGGGGGGATGGGTCGTTGAATGAAACCCCGCTTTTTTGTTGAGTAAATGGAGATAAGCGCCTCCTGGAGAATCATTGAGTGGAACTCCCTCTTTTGTCTCTGCGTGTGTGCGGGCGTATGTGTGGTGTGGTGTGTGTGTGTGTGTGTGTGTGTGTGTCTGTGTGTGTGACTGAGGATAGTTAGATGGAGCCTCCGCTTTTTTGTTGCATGTTTTGGTGGTCTTCTGGATGGGGGAAGTTGTTGGGTGGAACAAATGCATTTTTTGTTGTGATACTGGGGTGTGACTAAGGATCGTTAGGTGGAAACTAATCCTTCGTGGTGCGTGCTTGGGTGATCGTCAGAATGGGGGTTGTTGGATGGAACCCCCGATTTTTGTTCTGTGAATGGGGGGGGGGGGGGGGGGGGTGGTCGTTGATCGGAACCTCCGATTTCTGTTGTGTGACTGAGGATCGTCAGCCCGGGGTAATTGAATGGATTAGGGATCTTTGAGTGGAACCCTAATTGTTATTGTGTGACTGGGGATTGTCAGACCCGCGGATCGTTGAGCGGAACCTTTGTCTTTTGTTATCTGTGTGATCTTAGTACCCATTCTTAAACTACAGCTTAAACTAAAACAGCTACTACTACTACTACTACTACTACTACTACTACTACTACTACTACTACTACTACTACTACTACTACTACTACTACTACTACTACTACTGCTGCTGCTGCTGCTGCTGTTGATCCTACTACTACTCCTTCTATTGCTGCTGGTGCTATTACCACCACCACGACTATTACCACCACTATTACCACCACTACTACTACTACTACTACTACTACTACTACTACTACTACTACTACTCCATCTCCTGCTTAACTACCACCACCACCACCACCACAACAATAACACTACTACTTCTACAACTGCTGCTGCTACTACTGCTACTACTTCCACTACTACTACTACCACCACCACTACTACTACTACTACTACTACTACTACTACTACTACTACTACTACTACTACTACTACTACTACTACTACTACTACTACTACTACTACTACTACTACTACTACTACTACTACTACTACTACTACTACCACTACTACTACTATTACCACCACCACCACTACCACTACTACTACTACTACTACGACTACTACTACTACTACTACTACTACTACTACTACTACTACTACTACTACTACTACTACTACTACTACTACTACTACTACTACTACTACTACCTTTACTACTACTACTACTATCTTTACGTCTCATCTGCCTTCTTCTTCTTCTTCTTCTTCTTCTTCTTCTTCTTCTTCTTCTTCTTCTTCTTCTTCTTCTTCTTTCTTTTTCTTCTTTTTCTTCTTTTTCTTCTTCTTCTTCTTCTTCTTCTTCTTCTTCTTCTTCTTCTTCTTCTTCTTCTTCTTCTTCTTCTTCTTCTTCTTCTTCTTCTTGTTCTTCTACTTCTTTTTTGTCGTCGTCTTCTTCTTTCTCCAATTAACTTTTACCAGCGTATCTCTTATGGCAGTCAGATGCGTGCTTCCGTATTTCGAAACTGCCCCTTTTTAGGGGTAGCTTCAAGTTCTATTGTAAAAAAATATATATATATATATATATATATATATATTTTACATTTTGTTTTCTTTGTTTTTGTTTTGTTTAAATATAAATTTCCCATTCAGAGCATATTTTCATTTGCATTATTTTCACATAAACACGGTTTCAGAGCACCCTCCCCCCCCCCCCCCAACCCCCTCTCACACACATCTGGTATTCAGTTTCATGATGTTAAATGAAGTCCCCACTCCCCCACACCCCAGTTAGACCAAGAAACATTCAGATTGCGACTCGTACGGTGAGGACTGAAACTCTATCTACTGAAGATGGAGACTGAGGGCTTTTGGAAATGCCCCTGGTGCCGCGATATCGGTTCAAAATGCAGTTTAACTCGACATTCGCATTCTCACAACATACCCAAATTGTTCCTTGATAATGAGGTGCAGAGATAAAGTACCTTGTCGTCTTCTTAGCAGTTTAATTCTTCTCTTTT